GAGACAGATTCAAGGCAAGACTGATTTCACATCCTAATGCCAGACAGCTGAGTTTCCTTGAAACTTCAGCACTTTTACATCTGCTCCATGTGAAAAATTCTTGGGTGTCTATATTGCAGTTATACAAGATAAGCTTTTTCTTAGCCTTCATCTGACACCATGATTAAAAGTTAGGTGCCTGATAGAAAAAAAATCTTTGAAGACAACTAACAGTTTGCAGTTGTTTTATTCTGTGGGTTGATATAGAAGCCAGATAGCCATGTTCTCATGTCACTGCAAAATTTTGCTGATCTCTGAAAGGGGGGATGTACTGAATAACTTATTATAAGATATCTGTGCTTTCCCCAGTCTGATGCCACCTAGATGCATTGCACTGCCACTCACATGATTCCCCATCAGTATGTTTGCTGGCTAGCATGGTTATTGGCTATGCTTGTTAGAGTTTATGGCATCTAGGGAAGGTTATAGAGAAACTGGTTGCATTTTGGCTTCAGAGGACTGTAGAAGAAGCAGATTATCTGGACCCCTTTCAGTCAGGGTTCAGGTCTCAATATAGGACCAAGACGGCATTGATTGCACTCTTGGATGACCTCTGGTGGGAGCAGGATGGGGAAGTGTGTCCATCCTTGCTGCTCTTGACTTCTCAGCAGCTTTCAATACCATTGATCATAGTATCCTTCTGGACCAGCTCCAGAAATTGGGGGTGGGTGACATGGTGTTGTGCTTGTTCTCCTCCTTCCTCTGGGGTCAGTTCTGGTCAGTGTTGATAGGAGGGGAGACATCTAGCTGGCAGCCCCTCCTTTGTGAGGTGCCTCAGAGCTTGGCACTCTCTCCTCATCTACGTGAAGCCGCTACATGAGGTCATCCAATGGTTTGGGGTGAGGTATCATCAGTATTCTGATGGTATCCAGCTTTATATCTCCACTCCATGCTGTCTGAGTGATGCCCTGCAGGTTCTGTTTCAATGCCTGGAGGTGTGGGGGCCTGGATGGGGTGCAACAGGCTTCAGCTCAACCCAAGCAAGACTGAATGGCTCTGGGTTTTTGAACCTCCTGGTTCCAGAGCCTTCCATCTTTGGTTCTGGATGGGGTGGCACTGTCCCAGACAGACCTGATGTGCAATCTGGGGTCCTCCTGGGCTCATGTCTCCTGCTCAAAGACCAGGTGGCAGCCATCGCCAGGAGGGCCTTTGCACAGCTTAGTCAGTTGCCCCCATTCCTGGACCAGGGGGCCCTGCTCACAAGCACTCATGCCCTTGTGACATTCAGATTGAACTACTGCAATGTGCTTTACATGGGGATGCCTTTGAAGAGTATTCAATTGGTGCAAAATATGGCAGCACAGGCAGGTACTGGTGTCAGTTACTCAGCACATAAGACACCACTGCTCCGCAGGCTGCTTTGGCTTCCAGTGTGCTTCCAGGTGCAATTCAAGATGCTGGTTGTTACCTTTAAAGCCCTTCATGGCTTAGAACCAGGATGCTTACAGGATCGTCTCTCCCCAGTTGTTTCCACCTGCCCTATCTGATCTGGCAGGAAGGGCATGCACCAGATACCATCAGCTAGGGAGTGTCGGCTGGCAGGGCCCAAAAGGAGTCTTTTCTGCCATGGCACCTGCCCTTTGGAACATCATTCCCTCTGAGATTAGATTGGCTCAATCCCTGTTGGCCTTTCATAAGGCCTTGAAAACCTGGCTATGTGCTTGAGCCTGGAGCCCTGGGCTTGGGTTAGAGTCTGTCTTCTGGTTGCATGGTTAGATCATGCCTGGCTGCTATGTGTTTTTATTTTTGTTTATATTATGTATTTTGTGTTTTTATTGTATTGTAAGCTGTCTAGAGTCACATAAAAGTGAGATGAGTGGCTAGATAAATCAAGTAAATAAATAAATTTAATTCAACACTGGAGAACCATGTGGAAGAAGGATGATTTACTCAAAAACCTCCTGAAATGTGCATTTCTTTGAATATTTTGTTTTTGGATACTGACAAGCTTTTTAAGAATATGCTATTTCAATCACATTCAGTAAACACATTAGGTTGTTGTGATATCCTGTGATGTCCAACTATGGCAAATACATCCATTCAGATTTAGCCATTTTTAAAGCTTTTTCCATTTTTTCCTCTGCTTTAAAAAAAAAAAGAAAAGAAACACTTTGGGTTTGTTATTAGTTGTTTTAAATTTCATTCTTCTTTAACTTTTCTGAGATTAAACTCCAAGTTCAATGTAACTTACATCTGAACGGACATTGTAGAACTGTAATCACATTTATATGTTTTTACAGTTTTTTATGTCTAATTGTTTTTATGTATTTATTTTTTTAATTGTTGTACGCTCCCCAGAGTCACCTTGTGTGAGATTGGTGGCTATATAAATAGGATAAATAAATAAATATATGATTAAATATCATTAAATGGAGTAGATATATTTCTGGAAATATGTTTGTGTGTATCTTTTCAGAAATAAATCTACAGCATTTTTAAAAACTGCTTGAAATGTTCTTTTGTGAACAGCATGTGATGAAATTTACTGTGATGACAGCTCCTGTCTGTGAAATACTAATTTCCATATGCCAGATATGGACTAATAGGTTGACACAATTCAGTACAAGGGAAAGGCATGTTCATACGATACGTTTCTTCTTCTTGGACGTGGAGGAGCTGATTGTTAGGGAATGAGATTGAAGTATAAGAGATTAATTCACTGTTCAGGGATCATTATTGTTTTTGATGCTGCTGCTGTGCATATGTCTGGGGGTGTGTTTTGCAGAAAAAAGAGTCTATAGGCTAAGTCAGCTTGCTAACATAGTTCACAAACACTTTTTCATACATGACTAGGGAACAAAAAGGAGGAGTATTTCAACTTTATGAGGTAGGCTGGACCAGGAAACCAACTCTACAAGTATGACTGGAAATATATTTATTGATAAAGGCTGCAGTAACAGTATTTTGAAAGCCTGACAGCCTTTTCCCTTTCTTCCCTCTTACACCTCAGAGAGTTAGGCTGCAACCAGTCTGAGTTTCTTCCTAATGTTTTCTTGTTTTCCAGGTTTAAAGCATGTTTTTGTAACCATCTCAGCATAGTTTCTTCAAAGTCCCCTCTGTGGTTCTCTACACCATAAATGCAAAGCCCTTTTAACACCCAAGACCTGTCACACAACACTGCAACTGGAGCAATCACTGGAAAACTGCTGCCAAGGTTCCCTCTGATTTGAGAACAGATTGAATAGTCAAATACTCTCCATCATAGTTTTTTTTTATTATTTTTTAGTTCTTGCTGCAGAGGCTGGAGTCCCATACTTTGTAGCAAGTTACTGCAGCTAGTTTTGTGGAAATCCAGAATTGGAAACAACCAGAATTGGACATGCCCAGTCCACCCTGGGAAAATGAAAATCTATTCTGAATTAACCCCTCTGCCGATATATCAGGGTTGTGCGGAATCTAGTGCACAGCACTATCAATATTAGCTTTTTAATGTGTATATTAAAGCAGCCTCGATGATTTAATAGAAAACCAGTTTACAGGGGGAAATATAATAATCAAAAATTAAATAAGCATAGATATTTTTCTGTAGTTGTTTTCTCAGCAGTCCCCTTCTTTCTTTTTGTTATCCCAAGCCCTCTGTACCACAACTGGAACATAAAGAGCTTTTGATTATATTCCCCGTCAAGTTTATTTAAAGTCGATTGTCACATAGCTCTGAACAGCTATTTTAATAGCATGATGGATGTTCATTATCTCAAGTGAATGTCTTAATATTTGTGAGTATATTGTGACTCTATGGGTGTCAACCTGTGGAAAGATTAAAGTATGTGAGTCAAAGGATACTGCTTATGGTGTGAGGTAATTAGTAGCATTATTGTAATATGAATATGTGCTGTAGTTATGATTCTTTAATTTTTCATAATAGAATCTGTCTACACGAGAAGCTTTCATTACTTATTATTTTCTGCCTGGCAAAGGAAGGAAAAAATGAATATGAAAAAGTTGATTCATTTGATACAGCTGGGTAGAACCCAATAAATTACCCTACGCTGTGATCAGTGTGCTAAAAGGGAGCAACAAGGACATGAGTATCACTGTATAAGAAGTAAAAACACACTGTTCATCAGAAGTACTCTTGTCAAGAACTCTGCAGAACATGGCAAATGATTTCAGTATTTGGCTCACAAACATAATTATGCCAGTTTAATATCCATGAGTTGAGATTTAAAGTTCCATTTTGCCACCCACAAGGACTTTCCTGTGAGAAACTTTCTGTGGGGATAAAACAAAATGAAAAGCATTTCATTTTATATGTGGAAAATGGGTTTATTTAGTTATATATATTTGGCCATATATATAACTGACAATAGCAACTGTGGTCTCTGTTTAAAGCAGTGTTTCTCAACCTTGGCAACTTGAAGACGGGAGGACTTTAATATCCAGAATTCCCCAGCCATGTCATGAAGTCCACCCATCTTCAAGGTTGAGAAACACTGGTTTACAGTGACTGGGGCTCATATTAATTTCATAGAATCATAGAAGGAACCTTGGAGGTCTTCTAGTCCAAATCCCCAACAAGAGCTGGAATCCCCAGACCATACCGGACAAATGGCAGACCAGTGTTTGCTTGAAAACCTCCAATGATGGAGTACCCAGTTCCACTGCTTAATAGCACTCATGGTCAGAAATTCCTCCTTACTTTGAGTTTGGATCCCTCTCTCTTTCTCTCTCTGCAAAACTTCCACCCACTGGTTTTTGTGCTACCTTCAGGCACTACAGAGAATAAATTCACACTTTTTCCCCCTGTGACAGCCCTTTAAAATCTATGGATCTATTTTCTTTCCTTAGTTTTATCCAGACAAGTTCAGAAGTAGTTATTGGATGTTTTTCTCACACACAATCAAATGTGTATAATGTGAGTGCCAATTGCATTCATCCTAGTGCTTTTCATCATGTTCATTTACATGCCATGAATGTGTGAACAAGTGAGAGATAAACATGCCTTTTTGATTTCTAACTAGGTATTAAAATGAGCTTTAAAACTACAGAACTTGAGGGTCTACTTTTTCTCTCCATGTCACCTGGTAATCAGGAGGAATACATTGTCCTTCAATTGAAAAGAGGACGTCCTTACTTTCTCTTTGATCCACAGGTAAAGTAGTAAAAGTTGCATGGCTATTTTTAATAATACAGTAGATATTTATTTATTTATTTATTTATTTATTTATTTATTTAATTATTTAATTATTTTCCTCTTTCTCTGTTTCTTAATGAAGAGGTTAATGCAGAGGTTCTCAGACTATGGATCCAGACCCCAAGTCATGAGCAACTTAGTTGTGGGTCACATTATTTAGAAAATCTGATCACACTTGGACAGGCAAAGTGGGGGCATTTTCAGAAATTGCTGGGGGCTCTGCTTCTCATTTTGCCTGAGCAAGCCCACAGTGAGCAATTGATGTATCACAAAATTTGACAATCTCTGTGATGCATAGATTAACATTTAATTATTCAGAATAGTATATTGTCCAACCCTCACCTCAATGAAATCATTAGTTTTATGGGGGGGGGGCTCTAACATAAATTAATTTATCATGTTTGGGAATCATAGTACTACAAAGTTTGAGAACCACTAATTCAGTGGCTTCAGGTGACACATGTCTGCCTAACAAGGGGAGAAGAATCTATACAGTGTAATCAGTCAGTTAATCACTTAAATGGAAAATGAATGAAATTTCAAAATTACAATTATTTGGCCTTTATGAAATGTTGATACTAAGGTTATATATAAAAACATATTTAATCTATAAAACATCTTTATAGATTAAAAAAATAAGGAAAATGAGAGCATTCTATTTCGAAGTAATTACAATATTGATTATAAAAATGACATAGGTTTCAATAACTGTGTATCCCACTTTGAAAAATGTAGCTGGAACAAAAATAATATCTATTCATTCTCCTTCCTATTTCTAGTAGCAAATGATGAGTTGAAGGTGTAGGCCACTAGATGTTGTAAAGTGACATTCAGAGGAATCCCTGTTTAAAGACAGAGGAGAGATGAAGCAGCAATCTTCATGTGCCAGTGCAAAGACATGCTAGAGTAGCAAGTAGGATCACTCTGATTGTGCTGTGTGCTGGTCTGCTTGTGTATAGTAAAAGACTGCAATGTAACTAACTTCTGTTTGCATAAAAAATAAATAGTCCTTTTATTGCTTATTTCAAAGAGAAAGAGTTTGGGAAATGGATGTGTATTTTTTCCAGGGAATTAAATGCAACCTTCAAAGTTTTATTATTAAATTGATACTTTTTTTTTCAGTTTGAAATTACAAGGGTTTCCTGTACAAGGATATTTTTTCCTGTTGTTTCAACTGATGTTCATCTCTTAATCTAGACTATGGGTTTTTATTTATTATTTATTTCAAGTGCTTTTATGCCATTTCAATCACAAAATAAATCTAAGTGGCTCATGAAAATAGTGTACAATAAATTATATATCTGTATCTGTAATTATATGTTGTATTAATCAATAGCATCATTATAAAATCCCAATAACAATAATGTCATTAATAGTGCCTAGATATGCCCTATGTTCACACATCCTCCATATCTGTCTCCGACTGCCTGCTTATATAGCCAGGTCTTCAAAACCTTCTCCATATTAGCAATTGGGAAACTAATCTGGGGGAGCCAGTTCTACAGAAGGATGACTTTGCTTTCAAGTCCTTTCCTGTTACACCTCAAAGTTTTTCTATATGTCTTGGAGGGCCAGATTCTACTTGGAATAAGCAGTCCTTGAGAACAATCATGAATGGAACATGAGCCAAAACTGGGCAAAGGCTTTTCAGGCTATAGTTTCCACCTACTGTTCCAGCCTGAACTGTGAGTCCAGGAGGACCCCCAGGTTATGAACCAGCTGTTCTGATCTGAGAGATCTAGAATGATCCAGAAAGGTTATGCTTTCCCTATCTAGATCCTCATATAGGTCATTGACAAGAATGACCAATATGATTTCTTTCCTATGCCCAGGCCTGATCTCCATCAAGGAATTCTATGGATGTAATAAGGATGGAGAAGTAAGTTCACTTGTCTGTCCTTTCCATCAGGATACAAACATGTGTCCAGTATTCCTTGTCTGCCAAAATCACTCCAAGTGTCTCTTCTGGCACTTCATTTCTTGAAGTTCCTCTGTAAACCAAGGAGATCCTGGGATCAGCATACAGGTTGAGATGTTCTAGGGCAATCCTATCAAAAGCCCCCATTGGATTTTGTTCCAGAAGCTGATTAAATTCTCAATAGAATGGCTCTCATGTTGCTTGGAAATTTTCCATGCATCCTCTGAAAACCAACTGAGTCCATCAAACTGCCTAAGGCAAACTGTTTGAATGAGGTCAGCTCCCCTACAGAACTGTGACACTGGTCAACCCCATAGTCACCAGAAAATGGTCTGCCCATGAGAAATGACTAGTTTTTATATCTACCATCCCCAGATCATATCTCAACTGCTCTAATGTGTGGCTTCCCTTGTGTGTCAGGTATGTAATGACCTGGCTTAAGCCTATGGCAACCATAAATCCTGAGCTATTTCAGAAGTTGCTCACAGGGCTGGCAAGTTGAAATCACCCAGCACTAGCATCCTGGATTGTTCAGGCCTAAGGTTCTTCTACTACATAATCTGTTTCTAGTAGTGGGATAACTAGCCAGATAATTCAGGAAAGTAGATAAAGCATGAACAGTAAGGAGCTGTCCTTTTCTCAGACCCTGATGTATGCTATATGGCATCTTTTTCCAAAGTGGTGCCCTCCAGATATATCGGTACTACAACTTTCAGAATTACTGACTTGCATAGCTGTGGACTGCTTTGTCTGGCAATTTATGGAGGTCCAGATTGAGGAGAGCTGGTCTACAGTAGTATCTTGGGTACACCTATCCTGAATAAAGAGTATAGTATTTTCAGTAGATATGCAGTAAACTAGTAAAGCAATCTGTGACCTACAAAATAAAACAAAGTGAAAATTTTCACATTAGAAATCATCATAAATTAGATAATCTAATGGAAGTGATTATTTTGTCTATTCAGCATGCAGCAGCACTAGGTCAGCTTGTCTGAACTCAGAAGCTGAGTTAGTACTGGGATGGGAGAGCAGCAGGGAATTCCAGGGCTGTAGGCTAGACTGAAAAGTTGAAAAATCCCAGAACACAGCAAACCTTTTTGGATTGCTGCCAAGAAAACAGCATGATTTTTATCCATGTAATCACCAGGAATTGATCGCAACTCAAGGGGACTTTATTTTCATTGGAACAGTCTTTTTACAAACACTTCTCCTTTGCTTTTATCTTTTACTAGTAAAAAGGTAATGTCTTCTTCAAGTACAGCTCAACTCTTAGTGGTTTCATGGACATCTCCAGGTACTGAAATGTGAAAAACATTCCAAAAGTCAGTGGCAAACCTTCAACAGTACAATGTTAGGATTTTTAAAAACGGAACTAATGTCCAATGATCAGAAAAAATATTAGAATGTGAAGGGAAAAAATTGAATCAATTTGTATGTAGTTTATATTTCAAAATCAATTCTTATCTGATTTTCTTGGCACTCTGTAAGTTTAAATAGTATATAAGACATACATTTATTTTCATGCATAATTTCCTTCAACATACTTTGTCTGTAATTTTTGCAGGCAAGATAAATAGACAGAGCAAGCATTCCATGGTATCTGGATTGGGTATGCAATATTTCAGTCAAGATTCACCATTTCAAAATTCAGGATACATGAAGTTGAAAAATAACTTTATTCCAGTCCACATATTAGTCTGGGAAATGCAAATTCAATTGATTCACTTAAATATGTGAATTTAAAAAAGCAGTTCTCATTCTTAAAAAGAAATATATGTGTTTAAGTGCAGCGTGCTCTCTACTGGGTCTAGATCAGTGTTGTCCAAACTTGGCCACTTTAAGATGAGTGGAC